CCCCGTGTCCCCCGTGTCCGCAGTGTCACTTGATGCAGTCCATGACGTGCACCTGCAGCGTGTCCATGTCGGGCGCCCGGTACTGGCACTTGGGGCAGCACAGCGGGGGGGGCTCCTCCTCGCCGGGGGGGGGCGACCCCCCCAGGGCCCCTGCGCCGCGGGGGGGGGGACACGGTCACCCCCTGGGGACACCCCCCTTGGGGACACCCCCCTGGGGACACCCCCCTTGGGGACACCCCCCCGGTGTCCCCCTGTGGGGACACTCGGTGGCACCTCCCTGTGTGGGGGTGTCACCCCACGGGGACCCCCCCATGCCCCCCCCACTCACCGGGCAGGGGCCGCTGCTCCGCGTGGCGGTTCCGCAGCTCCTCCATGCGGGCCCTGGGGACACGGGGGACATGGGGACACCGCGGGGGGGGACACGGGGGGCGGGGGGGTCACTTGGGGTGCAGGGGACAATCGGCACCGAGCCCTGGCCGCAGCACCGCAGCGCCCGGGGGACACCCGGGAGGTGACACGGGAGGTGACCCGGGTGACACGGGAGGTGACACGGGTGACATGGGTGACCCGGGAGGTGACGCGGGAGGTGACCCGGGTGACACGGGAGGTGACGCGGGAGGTGACCCGGGTGACAGTGACACTGACCAGGCGTCGCCCTGCTCCTGCAGGCGCTGGCAGCGCCGCCGCAGCGCGCTCACGCTCTCCTGCAGCCGCTCGCGCTGCGCGTGGAGCTGCTCCCGCGCCGCCCGCTCCGCCTCGAAGTCCGCCCGGAAGATGTCGGCCTGCGCCCGGGGACACCCGCGGGCCCCCGTGTCACCCGTGGGTGTCCCCGTGTCACCCAGGGGCCCCATGGGGCACCCGTGTCCCCAAGGTCCCCCCCGGGGCCACCTGGGCCTGCAGGACGGGGACGGTCTCGAGCGCCGCCCGCTGCCGCTCGGCCTCCGCCTTGAGCTGGTCGATGAGGAGCTGCTTGGCGGCCAGGGCCTCCTCGGCCTCCCGCAGCTGGGACATGG